TGATGTCATGTGTGACATGATCAGGACTTTAAAATGAGGAAATGCCAGGCGGGCGTTTCCCCACACCTGACACTCATGATGACTGAAAAGACAAACAGAGTAAGTATGAACAAATGACTTAATCTGTAACATAATAAAGTATAAAGAAACATAACTTAGTATTTGTCTTAATTTGCAGAATTTTTGATTTGCCGGCAAGAAAACGCTTACACAAACAAACCCGGGATAGTGAGTGAAGCAATGTTACTTGACAAATAGCAAATCATAGCAAATACATAGAAACAGAATAATGTGTACAATGTGCAAAAAAAAAAAGGTAAACACAAATGGGACAAATGGAGAGAATTACAACTGCTTCTCCACTTTGTCACACGTATGTTAACACTATTGGAAGTAAAAATAACTTGAACCCCAATTTTGAAAACACAACTTTCTTCTTCTTTTTTTATAAAGCTCTGACTTGTATTATGAGTATGAGTCTGTGGTCTGGGAGAGAGTCCTGTAACTCTCTGTCTGCAAAATACAGTATACAAAAACCAGTGTTGAGCAATTAATTATATAGCTACTTCTTCAAAAAAGTAACACAGTTTGGCAAACAACAAAGTTTTTTGCAGCTATTTTTTTTAAATGCAGCCAAGGCGTTTGGCGTTAAACATTTCAAAATATTTACAGAAGAAGATCAGGTGTTCTGCATCAATTTTGATGCCACACAAATTATTTGTGCCACTCCAAAAAAATATTTCTGTCCACTATGAGATAAAGGAGAACAACAGCCTGATACCTGCAGGCCTGACTAAAGGAGATGTATCACTCCTATTATGTAACGGAGCGAAGGTGATTTTATTTCCACAGTGTTTTTAAAGGAGGGGAACCTTCCCTTCCCTGGATGACATCCCCCCACACTGAAATATTAGTAGTCCCTGCTAATGCTCCATCTCCCTGTAACGCTCTGGTGGAATCCCACGCGTGGTCCTAGTGGACCGTCTAAGGGACATACCTGACTCACTCTGGTGAGGTGACACACAGTCCCCATTTCTGTTTTATTAAACCTGAAGCAGAAGTATAATAATATGTGCCCTTCTGTCCCATGCCACAAAATAATCCATTTCACGTCCCAATAGCATAGCTATCCGGAAGCCATTAGGTCCTAAACTGCACCTAGCTGCTACTGTGGGGATACTTCCAGGCCTAACCTGGATTTCGTGCTTAATCCCAAGCACTGCTGCCTAGCAGCAAACCATTACCCCACGTCTCGCAACCCTGCAGCTGACCTCCCATGGCAACCTAGGTTGGACGTTCCTTATTCACTCTTCTTGTGGCCAAACATACCTGCGCACACTATCCATACCCATCTGCTCAGTGGTCCTTGGCTTTGGCTCCAACAGTCTATCCTCCATCTTCTTATTTGGCCTATCCTTTTTAAACTACAGCTGGGGCACCAGAATACACACACATCATCAATTTTACTATTCCCCTGACTAACCCAACTGCTCTTGACTCCGTATCCTGTCGACAACGCCAATTATGTAACGGAGCGAAGGTGATTTTATTTCCACAGTGTTTTTTAAAGGAGGGAAACCTTCCTCCAAACGGACAGAGCAGTGGAGCCGCCAAGGGAAAGCACACGAATAAAAACTGTATAGTCAAAATATAATTTATCATATTTAAATAGTTAAAAATATTAAATGAATTAAAACAACCCTGGCCAGGGGACAACACAATAAAAATCAATAAAACACAACATTAAAAGTCCAGTGGCGTCCGCCACGGTATAAAAGTCACGAAGAATTAAAAATCCAGTGAAGTGGTGCAGAAGGGAAACCCAGCGGCGTCCTCGCCTTCCTCTGCACTAAAGAAAGGGAGGCAGCGGCAGTCACTACTCTTTTAGGCAGCTTTCATTCGTTAAAAGGGGACAAGTCAAAAGACTTACCCCGGGTGGGCAGAGCTCTCAACTCCGCCCGCCGCTTCTTTGTAACCGCCAATCGGCACCGGCCCGCCTCGCCGCCTCTAATCTCCCGCAGTGCGTAATCTGGCCTCCTGTTGCTGCAGCAGTCGGACCGCTCGCTCCGCGTCCCTGGTCGCTGGCGCTGTATCCTCCTGCCCTCCTGAACGCCAAGCTCCACCAGTCCCATCTGTCACTGAGCACTCTCTGTAAATTACCACTCGCTCCTTTCCTCTCAGGTGTGTCCAATTAGTAAAACGGGAAAAGGGCGGAGTCTCTCCAGGACAAATTGACGGTATAACCAAAACATGCAATCTAAATAAAACACTGCACAAAATATGACCAAAACATGCAATATAAAAAATAAGCACACTTCACATTAAAATACAGCAAAGCAAAACAACATCCGTCCTTCCCTGGATAACACTGTAACACCTGTAACATTCAGCAGTCGCCTCATTGTTCTGACGCACACAAGAAAACTATTGACTACACTACACACTAACACAAGATTTGTGCTAAACGTCGCAAATCTCTCACATCTCAAAACACCGCTGTCACTCCTAAAACTTCCCCCCGTTTCTTAACAACTTGCCATATCATTTTTTGATTGGTTGACATGGTACTTTTTTCAACCAATAGGAAAGGGTGGGGGTGTTTTTGGTTTTGTTTTTGCTCAAAGGCGGAGAGTGCTTTCGAGGCTTTTTTCTTATATAACATTTCTTCCCGCAGTAAATATAAACAACAATAGTATTCAGGAAGAAAACCAAACATTGCATATATTTTATATTTTAACTCTGGTTTTACGTGGCCTATCAACACAATTTAAAAACTGGTATAAAGTCCACACTTTTTCTGTCAATTGTTCCGTCTTTCCTGCTCACATCTCCAATGGTTGCACACGTTGTCATTAACGTGGCTTCACTTCACATCAGCCACGCCGCTTTGCTAGCTAAAACACTGGCACATAAGGACGCTGTCATAGCCTGTCGGTGACTAGCTGCATATATACGAATGTGAATCGCATTATTGGCTGGACTATGAGGTGGCATTGTTCTAATCCCATACGGGAGCAGCCAGTCACTTACTGACTAGCACTGCAAAACAGAATAGTAGAAGTTTTAATTTTAATTTCAATTCAGGTTAGAGTTTTTCTTTGTGCACAACGCAGATTTTCTTTGCGCAGAGACTGTGCCAGCAGTGCGCAATTGCGCACGTGCGCAGCTTAGAGGGAACATTGCCAGGGATTCAACCTGAGACTTGTCAGATTACCTGAGAGTGCTAAACAAGGGGAAATCACATCATTTTTGCACGTGTGTTCCCATCTCCCCCCATCATCGAGCGAGCACATAGACTACAAGGCCAAAATATCGCAAACGGCTCACCCTGAGTGGTCATCATGAAGTTCTTGAATAATCAAGACAAGTTGAGGGCGATGAGGGCAGAAAATTAATGAACAACAGACACCATGTGATGTTCTTCCGTGACCTGTTGACGGAGCTTCAGAAAAAGTGGAAACAATATAACCAGGTAATTTTCCGTCACGGCGACTGGCACCTCTTTCACACACCTGTGGCGGTGGAAGAATTCAACTAAAAGGTGCAGTTCTGATGAACAATTTCAGCTTGTTCACCTTTCACCCACAATACCCCCTTTCAGTCCCAAAACACAGTTACGCTAGCACGCAGTGCGCGCACTGTGTGTAAGCATTCTCCACGACACTGCGCATCAGCATGTCGCCCGTCAAACTGTCACTGTCCTGCAAAACTCTGGTTGGAACTTCATCACCCACCCACCCTACAGTCCTGACTTCGCACCCAGTGACTACGACCTGTTCCCAAAGTTGAAAGAACATTTATCTGGAAGCCGATTCTGTGGCGGCGAGCGGGTATGACATAGGCATTGTAAAACTGCCACAGGGTCTACAAAAATGCATCGACCAAAATGACGATTATGTAGAAAAATAAGTCTTCGAACTTTAAAATGATGTAAATATTATGGAAAATAAAGGGTTGTTTGTATTAAAAGAATCTAAAATAATAGGAGGCCTTACTTTTGGGATTGCCTTCGTAATTTAAACAAATTCAGAACATCCAGACATGGCTCAAAAATTGGATTATTTGCAGATGACATTGTTTTAATGCTGTCCAAATTGAAGAGTTCAGTTCTCCAGCTACTCAAAACAATTAACTCATTCAGCAGCATCTCCGGTTATAAAATTTATTAATCCAAATTGGCCATTCTCTTCTTTACACATTCTGAAAGAATTAAACCATCCATTTAATCAATTTTTCAAGTTGCCAAAGACAGCCTTACCTATCTAGGTATAAAAATGACTCCAAAAATAGATGAATTGGTATATGCAAACTACACTCAAGCAATTAGCTCTGTTGTACAATCAATCAATAGATGGTCTATGGTGCCAATCTCTCTGTTTGGACACGTAAACATACTCAAGATGAGTGTTTTCCCACATTTCTTGATCTTTTCCAAGCCATTCCTCTCAACCCACCAGATGACTTCTTCACAAAGATAAAAACAATCTTCAATAAATGTATCTGGAATAACAGACAAGCCAGATTATGCCTATCGTTACTATATCTTCTGTATGATAGAGGGGGCCTAGGTATACTAGACCTCAAATGGTACTATTGGGCTGCCCATCTCTCTACAGCCTCATGCTGATTTTTAGTGACAAAGTTATCTTGGGTGAAATTTAGAAAGGACAAGCACTACCTCCTTACTGCTCAATTCTTACCTGTATTCAGCAAAATATAAAGATTTGATGTGCTTCAATGACTTGACACAGAAATTTGGCATTCCTCCTAAACATTTTTTAAAATTTCTTCAAATCAGAAGCTTTATTTCAAAAACTCAAAAATCTCTAACACTGTCTACTCTAAACTCATTAGAGGACACTGAAATAAACAACCACCAAAGGAAGGGCGTAATATCCCGCTTTTATAGTAACGTTAGACACGGCTCTCAAACATTCTCATGGTGTCAAGGCTTAAAATGTAGTATACCATAGAGGAATGGCAGAAAGCCTGCTTGAAAGCCCAAACACAATCATTAGCCAATTATATTGGATTAGTTTAAAGTAGGTGTTTATAGAGAACATATGTAACTCCAACACTGTTAAACAAATTTGATCCTAACATTCCAGACATATGTGTTAATTCAAGTTCAAGTTCAAAGTTTATTCGCCACATGCAGTGGCAGGTTGCCCTGCAGTGGAATGAACCCGCCCCCCGACCTTACACATACAACACAGACATCACATGGGGATACAAGTCAGAGAACGGTTGCATTACAGAAAAAAACACTGAAATGTACACTACAATGGGAAAGGTACAAGAGGAAAAAAAGAGGCCTCTACTCATGCTGGGCTACAGGAGGACAGCATGAGAACAGGAAACAAAAAAACTCCTCTGCACAGAAAAGCACATAAATATCCACAGTACAACATTATAGAGCACGTGACCAGCAACAGGGTTGGGTAGGGGATAAGGAGTAATCCCAGGCAACACAGCAGCCATCCTGCCACTGCGCCAACTCTCCAGCGCGGGCCCAGACCCGCCTCGTGTTCCCAGGAGGCAACAAGCATCGAAGGCACTGGAAGGGGAAGGGAAATGTGTGAGTGCTTATCAGTGTATGCGTGTGAGTGTCCATAGTTCAGCTGAGACAGTGTCCTTCGCCCTATCAGGCTAAGTAAACAGTCTGCTAGCCAATCCAGGTGGCCTTGCATGGGATGGAAAGAATAGTCATCACACAGTCGTTATCAGGGAGTTTTTGTTCGGTTCCAGCCCCAGCTGGCGCCATGGTGTCCGCATGTTGATGTTGTCAATTTTCTTTTTATGCGAGCAGCTCAGAAGAGAAGAATTTCAAGCTGTTCTTAACACTCCGACACTGGTCTCTCAATCTCCCGTTGGAGAGCCGCAAGCCTCCCCATGATGGTATCAAACTTCTGTTCCATGGTGTTATCATTCTTTTGATTCTGAGACCCCACAACTGCAGTAAGCCGTTCTGCGATGTGATCCAACTTTCGCTCAAGGGTCTCATTTTGAGCAGGCCTCTCTTTGATGTATCCCAACATACACTCAATGGTGTTGTTTTGAGTCTTCACGGCAGCTGTAAGCGTCTCCAAGGTGTTAACCACACTGCGTTCGTTGTGAGAGGTCGCGCCTCGTCCCGTCGCTTCGATTCCAGCGGGCAGCTTTGGGGGGGTTTGAACAGCCGGTTCCGCTCTCTTATTTCTCCGATAAGTCAGGGCCAAGCCAGCTTCAATCAGCAAGAACCCTGTTATCATGGTTCCAAATAGGTAGATATCTTCAGCGTCCTCGATCAACAGTCCCGCCAGGCACATGACCCTCCAGTTCTGCCACCCATCCATCGTGTATCCGGCAGGGAAAGTCACTCCAGGGCACTCGGGCTCTCCCGAGCCCAGACTCCTCGTTGAGAAAAGGGTGTCAATAGCATTCAGAGACCAGTTGATCAAATCCATAATTCTCTTTTAGGTTTTAGAGAACGACAGTGAGAGACTGTTCGAGGGAAAATAATACACACGAGACAAGACATGGACAAGAGGCTAAAGACAAGGACAAGAGGCTAATTGTGGGGACAAAGGCACACTGATGCATTGCCTGTGGGAATCTTCTGAAACCCAAAGGTTTTGGAAAGAAGTCTTAGATGTAATTGCGCATATTACAAGTGTTAAGCTGAATCCGTGTCCTAAATTATGTATTCTAGGGATCTTCCCCACTGAAATGCAATCTACTGCTTGTTACAAGCAAAATACATAAAGCCAAATCTCGGAGATCCATTACTAGACCACATTTGAGAACTTGGCTGTTGACTTTGTCCAAATCCCAAGCTTTAGAGAAACTTACTTTTTTGATTAAGGGTAAACATGCTTCCTTTAAAAAGATGGGGGAAAAAAGTGGGGAAATTTTTTGTCTTTTTTTCGAATATCGAGAGATGACCGACAATGAACAGATATGACTGTACCCATTTAATTTGTATGGGAGATGTGCTGTTGTGGTTTTTGAAGATAGCCTGAGGAGCTTGCATGTGCTGGACTGTTCAATGGTAGGACATGCGATGGAGATGTTAGATTGATTGCAACGGAGGAAGACACAGCTCATTGCTACAGCCGTTTTATCGGATCTCTCTCTCTCACTGACTTGGAAT